CCACCGACACCTGGGTCTCCGTCGCGGGCCGCCCCGACGCCCTCGCCGCTTTCCGCGTGTCCCACCACCTCCTGCTCCCGCCGGCGACCACCGTCCAGGCGCGCCTCCTCCCCGCGGCCCACGCGCTCTACCACGCCCCCGCGCTCACCGACGCCAAGGCGCAGGTCATGCGCGACCTCGCCCGCGCGCCCGCGCGTTTCCCGGAGTATGCCGCGCTCCGGCACACGCTGCACTCGCCTGCGACAGGCGCCGCCGTAGAAGCCCCCACAGCGGCGGCAACGGCGGCGCGTACGCTCGCGGAAGACGTCGTCGACATGCCACTCTTTGCGCCTGTCCGTGTTGATCGCGTCGTCGCGGGCGTCCGGGAGGCCTGTGGTGCGGCGCGCCCTTGAATGTTGGGGCGTAGGACCGCCAGGGGATCGAGGCATGTTAAGGCCGATAAATCGCGCGCAGGAGGCAGCTCGAAGACTCTGAAAGCTCAAAACACATAAAATTTGGGATTCAGCACGGCGCAAATTGACAGAGGCCAAGTAACCAGGCTTACTGCGCCTCAAGTGATCATCGCACCAGACGTGTTGTGCCTGACATTCAAGAGTCCGGCAAGGTGAGTGTTACATGACAACACGGCGAAGGGCATATTGACCTCCAGTGGTGCGATGGAGCTGCATCAAGTCCTTAGTCAACATGATAAACGAGACGGTGCGAGAAGAGCTTTCGACCCAAGACGCGTCCTTTTCGAGCGCCAATTTGAGCGCGCCTCTTGCGTTCACGTTCGGAGTTCGTACTCGTGAGAATACTGAACCTTACTTTGATGTACTGGTTAAGCCGTGCTTTGAAACTCAGATAAATAGCTGTAAAGTAGCTCTTTGATTGGTGCCTAATCGTGAGAACGCGAAATAATGGTAACGCTCAATGTTCAACACCAACTTGTTGGCCCCTATCATCCACACCGCACCGGACAAGCTTGCGACATGCACCCCTGCTTGAATATCGATGAGATTTTCCAGAATATCTTAGAACACATCGAGGAAAGACTGACCTTTTACGCTTTAACCCTGGTGTGCCGCACGTTTCTGGAGCCAGCGAACAACAGGCTGTGGATGGATCTGCCCGGTCTGGGTCCCTTGGTAAAGTGCTTGCCAGACCACTTGATAGGCCCAAGCGAACTTGTTGACTTCATCTTGGTAAGCATCTCTGATCCCTCTATCGTGTAGCTTGATGCTTCACTAGTGAACTTCTACAGACTATCATCAAACCCCCGCTGCCAGCGGAATGGCATAGATTCCAGCACCACGCTCACCGTGTCAAGTCTCTTTATGTCGATTGCGAGGAATATAGCGGTTTTGCAGTAGATGGGGTCGCACTGGAGATGTTGGCACAGCACCATCCTGGTCCCGTCCTGCCGAACGTTGCACGTGTTGCCTGGCACAGCTGGGCCTTCGCGGAGTATGCCCCGCTTTTCATCCAAAATACGCTGATAACCCTCGAGTTTATTCCGACGATGCCCATAGACAACCTCTGTCTTGTTCTCAAACATGTGGAGATGAACGCACCCCATCTCAAGGTGCTGGAACTTTACGAAGAAGCACATGAGGCGCTGGAGGACCTCGACGTTGAATTCGCTCGCACGATAATTTCCCTAAAATATTTGACCAGACTTGACTTCGATCACGTCCCACTTCTGTTTGGCGCTTTCATACACCTATCGCGACTGCCACACCTCGCTTCCCTGTCAATGCTTCTCATCGAGAACAGCTACGACGCATGGTGCTCTTCTGCATGGGGAGGCTTTCCTGCATTGAAAACTCTTTCGCTCATGTCCACCGAAACCGTGAACGGCATTTCCTCCTCCACGTCGCTCCTACAGGCAATGCCTGGATCAAACCTTACCCGCCTTGACATCTTCGAGATGTCACCACCAACGCATATCGAGGATTTTGATCGCTTAATATTCACGATTGGTCACCATCAGCGACTACAGACGCTTTCGATCACATTCCACCACAACAGCGAATGGGACGGCCAGGTCATTGACGGAAGCGCTCTTGCGCCTCTGTACAAAATCTCGGGAATGATGGACTTCATGCTGGCAGGCGCGCCAATAACGTTCCGACCAGAGACTGTCCGCGATCTTACGGCCGCATGGAGGCACCTCCAGTGTTTCTCGCTCAGCTCACCGTCGCGTGGGCATCACCATCTTTGTATCGAAGATTTGGTGCTTTTCTCACGATGCTGCCGTTCGTTGGATAGCTTAACTGTTCAGGTACACTCCGTGTCCAACGACTGGGCGTGCGACGTCAAGTACATCAACCCTCTATCCAAGCTATCAAGTCTCCAGCTCTGCAAGTCCTGGATCTCTCCCCTCGCGGAAGACGAGGTCGCCGAGTATCTCGCAGGGATCTTCCCTCTAGCCAGCATCAAGCATACCTTCTGCCCGACGCTCTGGGAACGGCAACACAGGCCGATCGAAGTACAGGCGGGCGCAGTCATTGAGCGGATCAACTCCCTGAGGGAAGAGCTTGCTCCGAGTATTGCCAGGTTGGCTACAGCAACGAAGGTGCGGAAACTCGCGAAGAAGCATCGAGGCCGTTCTCGTGATGCTGATGCGCCATGAGGGCCGGCTGCTGGCTTGTCGTTTCAGGGTATGTGAGCAGTGTCCCGCCTCTATCTAGCTTTGTAGTCCATGCTAACGGCATATGCTAGGGCGCATCTGTAGTGACGACTCGGCGTGTGTCCGTCATCTACCCCGCTCGGGATGGAAGCGTCAGGCCTAGTTTGGGTGACAAAGCGAGGCGGCTGTTCCTTCGTCTCTAAACCTCAGTATTGCTGTTTCACGGAGTGCTTTAGTCTCAGTGTCGTACGTGTACCGTATCATTTCGCTTCAGCATTTCTGTGTTATGAGGGTAGGCCTTTTCTCCGGGCGTTAATTTGCGTACATCTTTGTGGCTGCTGCGAAGAGCCGTAGTCATGGGAATATTAAACTCGCACGAGATATAAATCTGGTTTTGAGGGTTGATAA